AAACAAACTCGTCCCTGTATTTGGCACTTAAAAAATGAGCTGAAAAGTTGTGGCCGATGAAACCATTTTGTTACAATGATCTTCAGGGCAATCACCATGGAAAAACATTTTGTGTATTGTTTCCTCCAGTATTTTTAATCATGAAGACGTCGCACCCGCATATGTTGTCTCCGTCTTACGCACGTAAGAGTCGTACGACACTCCACATTTTTGCACGCCAGTTTCAATGGCGTGCTGTAAGTTTTGATATTAGAGTGAATCGAGCTATTATGAAAAGATTATTATTTAGGCTTTTATTGATAATTTTATTTTTAAATAAGTTAAAATTGTTTTAAAATGGACGGTTTCAAAAAGGTCATAACACTCATAAGTCATTTAGTCATAACTTACTTAAAAGATTGAAGTAGCGTCATTGGATACCCCCTTCTATCCAGGGCTTAAAACCGTTTACCGGTTTTTAACGGTTTTCGTGAAAAACCGTAAATTTCTAAGAACCCTAAACCGTCTACCGGTTTTATTTGCAGTATGGTGCGGATATCGGTAACCGATTAACAAAAAATTATAAAGTCGTATACCAAAAATCGATTATCAACATTTCTGAAAATCGTTCATTTAGCGATACCCGGTTACCATTATAATGCGGAAAAGATTTTTTTTGTCCCAATTACCAATCATTTATTGTTATTTCAGTTTATATTTTATTTGTAGAAAAATATTTACCTGTTACATTGAACTTATTAGTGTATGATATAATTATATATTATACACAATCACAATGTATAACACAATACTACAGAACAACCACTCTTATCATTCAAAAGCTTATCACTACCGAAACGGTGGCGGCGAGAAGAGTAGGTTCGAACATTTTGATATGTCGTCCGTGTGTAAGCCGGAGACAACACATGTGGGTGCGATAAATAATCTACATTTTATTGCTTCGATGACAACAGAGTTACCCTTTATTGTACACTAATGTACTAATTGTTGTAAATAGACATTTGTATAATATATAATTGTTGTTCAAAAATACAATTTCACCACTTTTTGTCTACCACATAATAAGATCACATTTTTTTATAATTCAAATTTGAAGAAAAACAAGATTTATCAGCTACTTTATTATGTAAGTTATAATTTAATCAAAAACATCTTAAATTATATTTTACAGTAGTTTTTAGAATTAAAAATAATTAAAAAGAATATTAAATATATAATGTAGTCGGACATTATTTTCACTTTCTAAAAGCTACTGTAAATGGGAGAATATTGCGATTTGTTGCATTGTATGGAACGTTCGATAGAAAAGTAATAATAAAAATAGTTTTCTGCTAATTTAAATTATATTTAATTCTGAAACAGTTTAGGATATTATCGTGTTATATGGAATGATTACATTAATACTATTCAAATTTTTTTGAATACATTTATGTGGTAATACTTCCATTAAAATGTTATTCAAAATTAATATTGGGCCATTGCCGGCATCGGCAGTTATTTAACTATAAATTATATTCTATGTTCAATTCAATTAAATGATTTTTATAATTATTATGTTTAGATATCAAGGATGCTTTAAATCGATATGATACATATTGTGAGTAATTATATCTCCTAAAAATAATATTTATACTTATAAAACTCACAGTTAAAAATAAGATGTATCAAAAGTCAAACCAAAGAGTAAACAAAATATTAATTAAAAATATACCAATAATAAGTGGAAAATACAAATATTCTATCTAATTTTAGATACACTGTTTTAAGCCTGTATTATTTATCTATATTAGAAACAATGTAATTTCTTAAAGATTTAATGCATAAAATATCTTAGTAATTTCAAGAAAACTCTGATATATTCCTGGTCAGCATGAGATAATTCTCGAATAAAAATACAATTACATGTGTTATACCTTATACATAATAACATTATCCCATAATTTATTCAATTCGTTAAGTTTGAACGAATATTAATTTACATTTTACAATTGTGTATCTAACCACACTTATTTTTGTCATAGACCCGGTTAAATATTTGGACGCAAATGTGTTTACTCAATACTGTAAGTTGGTTTTGATAAATATAATCATTCTTATAATTTTTATCATCAGACCCATGCGCTTACATTCATGTTTAACAACATTTTCAAAATATCATAGACTTTTTAGAAGGTTAATGCGACTATATGTGTAATATAAAAAGTACCTTAGTCCATAGATACTAAAATAATGGATAGGACAAGCCACCTATATCCACTCCTCAAGGGGCCGCGGTATTTTTTTGTAGAATAGAGAATGATAGATGTACAGTTTTTGCCTTTCGTTGAAGGGAGACCAAAGCCCAATGGCATAAAATATAACTATCTAGTTAACTATTGGCTTTACTGTTGGTTATAATGAAGAATAAGCGCCAAGGTGTACAAATATCAATATAATTTGTACCAGTAATAATATTTTATGTAGTAATTGATTTGAATGTATTTTATAACCATTTTGTTACAATGAGCGTTAGAACAACCACCAAGAGAAAAAACTTTTTGTGCATTGTTTCCTCTATTAATTTTAATTATGAGGACATCGCTGCACCCTCATGTGTTGCTTCCGTACGAGTCGTACAACATACTAAATTTTTGTTTTTAATATATTAAAATACATAATATTTTTATCATACGTATGATGTATTTTAGATTCTGACCTAGTTAGTATTTTTGAGAAGTCAAATTCGAAAATGTATAGGGGTTTTCAAAAGCTTTGAGAAAAACGAATGTTTGAAGTACAGTCAAAACTCTTTATAACGAAACTCTTTACAACGAAAAACTCTATATAACGTAAACATTACATAATAATTGTTGTTTTGCTTTATAATTCATTAGACAATTCATTCTCTATAACGTATTAGTCACTCTCAATAACGAAACAATATTTTATGTTTCATAATACAATTTACGTGTTATCGTATCTATTACATATATAAACTATAAAAATAATCGACAATAATGCCGAATAAAAAAGTCCAAACTAAGATGACAGACTATTTTAAATAAGGTATAAATATGTATAGTATAAAAATTAAATTATATTCAATAAGTATGTATAATAATAATAATAATTCAATATAATACGTAAATATATATAAAATAATGTAAAAATAATGATGTGTTTGATATATAATATTACATTGGTACATACCTTTATACATAAATAATTAAAATTTTGTTTTTTTTTAAACCCTCTCTATTACGAAAACTCTCTATAACGAAAGAAATCTCTTGGTCCCTTCAGATTCGTTATAAAGAGTTTTGACTGTATTAGAATTTTCTGTATCAATAATTAATAAAGGATTATAAAATCTGTAATTTTATTATCATCATCGTTGACTACCAATTGTATAATCCATGGAATTGTGTCAATAATTTATTTAAGTTTTAAGCTGGCCACACACTACGGTTTTATTTGTACGTGTACGGTGTACGGTGTAGTTCGCACATTTTTTGTTCGTACACCGATGAACGACACACACTATCCATTTTGTATCTTTGTACGGTGTTCGAACAACACGGACCTTTTTTTTGACGAATGAATCGGCATCAAACTATCAACATTATTATCAACGTACTAGTACGTACTAGATGTATTTAATCGCATATTATGGCTCCTGTTTCACGCACTGTAAATTTAGCTTTGGCAGCTACTGCTGTGGCATTGGTCCTTCATAAAATTAAAGGTAAAAAACAAAAGAGAAAATGGACTAAAGATTGGTTGCTGAAAAGATCGCAATACTCGCATTTAAACTTATTAAATGAATTACGGTTCCATCCTGAAGACTGGCATAATTACTTAAGGATGGATGAAGAAACCTACTTTGAATTACTTCAGTTAGTGACACCTCTAATAGTAAAACAAGATACTCACTTACGAAAATCAATCACCCCTCACGAACGGTTGACAGCAACATTGCGCTTTTTAGCTACTGGTTGTAGCTACGAAGACCTGAAATTTACAACCATCATATCTCCACAATTATTGGGTGAAATTATTCCAGAAACCTGTTGTGCAATTCATACCGTACTCAAAGACAAGTATTTGAAGGTAAGTTTGTTAATTTAATAATAATATTTATTTTATTATATGTATATAACACAGTAGAATACTTTCGAACTTATAAACTTAATCAAAATTAACTTTTTTTTTTTAATGTACAAAATAGTAAAATATGCTTAGAACACTAATAACTAATTTAATAAAATATTAATTTGAGAATTTTGAATTGCCTGATTGCTCGTAGTAGTCACGTATTCCAACCATAGCAGAATCTTTTGTTATTTCTGCTTGTGAGTACTGTAGAGTTTCTGATGATATAATATTTTGCAGTGTTGTTACGTTTGATTGTGAGTATGGTTGAGATTGCATAATTTCTGATGAATTCAGATTTAGCAGTGTTGGCAAATGATTTTTTGACTGTAGTTGTTCTATTATTTGAAGATCTTGCGATGTATGTGGTTGATGTGGATTATGACTTTGTTGTTGTTTTTGAGGAAAAACTGACAAATTAAGTTGTTGTTCATTATGAGAAACAGGTGGTGTATGAGATAACAAATTAAGTTGTTGTTCATTATGCGAAACAGGTGGTGTATGAGATAACAAATTAAGTTGTTGTTCATTATGAGAAACAGGTGATGTATGAGATAACACTGGTTTTTGAAGATAATAATGGGGTAATTGAGGTTCTAATGACGTATGCAATTGGAATGGTGCATGAGATTGCAGTATCGGGAAAGATCGATTTGGTACAGGTTGTTGAAGTGACATTTTAGTATACTTATTTATATTTCCAATTTCGGCTTCAAATAATATTTCATTAATAAATTTTTCGGACATCAGTTTAACCTCTTTCGATAATCCTCTTAATTTATAAGCAATATTTTGTCCTATTACGTCAAATTCATCTAAATTTTCATTTTGCAATTTATAATTTATTTATTTATTATTTATTTATTTATTTAAGATCGATTTGGTACAGGTTGTTGAAGTGACATTTTAGTATACTTATTTATATTTCCAATTTCGGCTTCAAATAATATTTCATTAATAAATTTTTCGGACATCAGTTTAACCTCTTTCGATAATCCTCTTAATTTATAAGCAATATTTTGTCCTATTACGTCAAATTCATCTAAATTTTCATTTTGCAATTTATTGCTAACTTTTTCTAAAACCTCATCACAAAGATCTCTTTTCTTCTTCTTTTTATTCTGAGTTGTCTGATATGGCTTATCAAAAGAAATAGAATTCGATTTTGGTGATATTGGTGTAGAAGATAAATTATCCTCGAGTTCATCTTCAATAGCACCAGTTGTATCGTTATCTACACTCTGTAAAAATGTACCAAACTGGTTAATATAATTTGTACAAATTTGTAATCATTTTTCAAAAATGTGTACACCCACTCTAACCCAGGATATTCGGTAATACACACCTATCTGTATATCTATATAGGTACTGTTTTAAAATACTGTTTTAAGAATACTAGTAAAAATTATTCAAAATACCGTATTTAATACTTAAAAAATTATTTAAAATGTATTCGGAATACTTAGAAAGTATATTTGACTGTATATTGGTAAATATATTTATGTAAGCAATTTATAACACTAACCAGTATAATTATTACTAACTTCTTATTATTAGTATTTAATGTGTTACCAATCTAAAACTTCACAAACAGAATTTTTTTGTTGAAATGAAAATAAGCGAGGACTGAGGACTGGGTCCGAGGCCCGGGGGCCTTTTCGGGTAGGGGGCCCAGGCGGAAAATGTCCATTTTTCCCCCGTTAAATCCACCCTTCATAGAAGGTCTTAAATTAAATACATATTTTGGTTTTTAGTTTCCAAAGAGTGAAGAAGAATGGAAAACAATCGCCTCTGAATTTGAAAAAAAGTGGAACTACCCAAATTGTTTGGGTGCCGTTGACGGCAAACATGTTCGTATTACTCCACCAGCAGGCAGTGGGTCTTATTATTGGAATTACAAAGGTTATAATAGTTTGGTATTGATGGGGATTGCAAATGCTAATTATGAACTGATTATGGTGCATTTTGGAATCAATGGAAGGATATCCGATGGTGGTGTTATTGAATACACAGAATTTTATCAAAAATTAAAACATAATGAATTAAATATACCTACACCTTCAAAACCTAATTGTAGTTCAACAATTTTACCATATGTATTCCTCGGAGACGAAGCTTTTACATTGCGAGAAGATTTTTTGAAACCTTTTGGACAAGGACAACTCAACATCGAACGAAAAATATATAATTACAGATTATCAAGAGCACGTCGTGTAATTGAAAATGTTTTTGGAATACTAGCTAATCGTTTTCGGGTATTTCATACTAGTATTAATCTTAAACTTGAACGAATTGATAAAGTAGTGATGGCTTGCTGTACCTTACACAATTTTTTGTGTAGAAAACGTCAACAACAGTACATTTTTTCAGGAAGTGTTGACCAAGAAAATATTGAAGATGGAACAATAGAGTTGGGTGAAAGGCCTTTGCCAAACACATTGACAGACTTGGAAATAGGACATAGCAGAAATAGTCGGCAAAATGCTAAAGATGTAAGGGACTTATATGTTAATTACTTTTCTAATGATGGTGTAGTTTCCTGGCAAAATAAATTTATTTAAACGTTATATAATAGTTATAATTTTATTTCATTATAATAAAATTAACTTTTTTAGCCAACTGCACCACTTTATGTACTCATACTAACTTATATTAAACGATTGAAGTAATTTAATTATTTTTAATTTTAATTTTATTGAAAAAAATTTTGAGAAAAAAACGTAAGTTGATATTATGCAAAAAAAAATGTAATAGGTGCGTAGTTAATTACCTACTAAACTACACTTAGTTAATTTATTTGTTTCTTTTTTAGTGTACCTACCTGCATCTAAATAATATACAATTAAATAAAATATGCCTTACCATGATTTGTGTTGAACCTTCATTTGATTCGCTTTCAGAAATGTTGGATACACCACTCCTAGGGGTCTCTTGATCTAAAAGGAACTGCAATTTTTCGAAGTACCATAACTTTGGAATGTATACGTTTTCTGTTCCAGCTCCACTTCTTTTAGACTCTTTAATTTTTTTTAATTCCTTTCGAAAATTTGACCTAAGCGAGTCAACTTTTTTTACTACTGTTTCTTTAGACGCGGTTTCATCTATTTCATGCAATTTTGAACACAACTTCTCATAAGCATTAGTTCGCTTATTACGGTCACTGTAATCTGACGATTTAATACGCCACAAACATGGATAATTTCTGTACAGCTCAATGAACTCTACTGTAAATTCTTTTGGCCATTGACGTATATCCATTTTGTCTCCTGCTAAAAAACAATGATTAAATTATTTTTATAGGGCATATTTTTTATATTTTTCATAATTTTAAATGCATACTTGATGATTTTTTAGTGCATGAATGGCGGGTTTATGTATTAAATTTACTATTACCCGTCATAGCCGAGCAGCTATGATGAAATAATATAATACAAATATATTACGTATTATAATAATACTTAATAGGTATATTAATATAATATTAATATTTTACGTAATAAATATAAATAATAATAATAATAATAATAATAATAATAATAATAATAATAAATAATTAAACTTCGAACAATCTCGAAAACAAATATTTTAGTTAAAATTCATAATAATAATAACAATAATAATCATAATAATTATATTACTTACTTTTATATTCTCGAATAGTTTCCCTCGAAGACACTACAATACTGCAATAGTTCACGTATAGAGCAAAACTAAATTATTTTCTGATTCTATGATCTCGTATAAATGAAATAAACCAAATTTATATTGTACAATAATTATTGTTATCAGTACAAAAAACATCTTGAAAATAATAATATAGGGGTTATTTATATATGATTTATTTATATATGCTATTTATAGTTTTTAAAACTGTACGGTTTTAGTTCGAACGCCGAAATGGGCACACACCTTCGGTTTTGTTCATTTTAAACACCGAACACGGACAAAAAATCAAACTCCTCAGTTTTTATTCCGTTTCCGTGTACGGTGTTTTTCATCCGTTTTATTGCCCTTACACTTTCGGTGTACCTTGTTCGAACTACACCGTACACCGAAGACGGACAAATAAAACCGCAGTGTGTGGCTAGCTTTAGACCTTCAGAAATTTACTCCCAAACAAAGTCTTCAAGCAGAATTTTGGTCATAAAAAACAGTGCAAAAAATAAATACTCAAATTATTATGTAAATCCTTTAATAATTAATATAATTTATGATTTATGACTATTCGAGTTATGGTGTAAATGTGTAATAACGAACGTCAACGCTGACGTTCACTCGTTCAGTCAACCCTGCCTGATTATCGTGACTGGTGGGGTAGGTATTCGAATTTCGAGCTGCTGAAAAATATGAAACTGCTCAACACAAACTATTAGACCATTAGCATTAGGAATGCATGTACAACCGTCGCGCGGCAGAGACACGAGAACGAGTGGCCAATGACGACCGAGACGCAGCTTCGGCTCCCTCCACATAGGACCCTGGTACCACAAACGCGGTTTTCACTCCGTCAAACGTCGATCCGTGGTCACTCCACTTCGCGGACGCTTTGACGCCTTACCGCCCGCCGCGATCGACTAACGCGGTTCACTGCCACGGTTCAACTGCGCGCACTCGTCGACTTCGACCGCTACAATATTCCGACAACAGCTGCTGGAAACGTGACGTGTTATTTTTAAGGAGTTGTGTTTAGGCAATTCTTTCGTTACTTTGCGCTCACTGCTCGTTTTTGCATGTGTATTATAACACGGAGTAAAAATTATACTAATATAGTGTCGTATATTTGTTACTGGCAATGTAGCCACAAATTTTGTTTCTAACCAACTAATATTATTTTTATTATTATTATAAATTATAATCATTAACTATTTATAGTGTTGATTTTTTTTTTAAAACAATCATTATTAATTTTATTTATGTGCCATTATGGCATTAAATTATTACGAATATTTTGATGGAATAACAAAAAAAAATTAACAAGTATTATCATTTTATTTTTATAATAAATTATAATTTTATTATTACCTATTTATTTGAACAAGATTTAGAAGTATGGCACTTGGAATTACATAATCTGTCTGTTTTTCTACACTTGGTTTTTAAATATGCATTACGATAAAAGTAACAATAAGTTTATACACGGTGTTTCAAAAAATTCATATTTTATTGTATTATGATACATGAATAAAATTAATGATTGTTTTAAAAAAAAAAAATCAATACTATAAAAAGGTAATGATAATAAAAAATAATATTTGTTTGTTAAAAAAAAATTCATGGTTTACATTGCCCGGGCAGAACCACATTACCGGGCATTGTATACATTTCCCGGTATTCCACATTGCCCTTAACATATCCACTGCCCACCAATCAACCGCATGCACATGAAAAAAAAGTTTATTGTGTCTTCGAACCTTTGACGCAATAATATAATTTCTTTGGCCAGTTGGTAATTTGAGTTTGAGATCATTGCATTAGATCAAAATAATTCAAAATCAATTTATGGACGTGAAATAGCTTACGCTTGACAAAGATTTAAGTTTTTCCAACTGTCTGATTAAAAAAATTGTAAAGATGTTGAAATGAATAAACAAGAATTCTTTGCATCTGTATGGAGCAGTATATTGCTACACATTATTTTTTATAATGACTGTATTAATTTCAAATGTATGTTCAAAACATGGAAATTCAAGCCTATTAAGCCGGCTTTCCAGTTTCCACGACACGTGTTTAAATACACGATAGATATGCAGTGGAGTACGGTGATACTTGATGCAGCGTGCGGCGCACTGTCCCGTGCGAGGTTAGGTAGTAAAATAATTCTAGTAAATACAAAATTAGTAGATGGTCATGGTTTCAATTCAAATATATGGGTTTCATTTTTGGTTCAGGTTATTTGAAAATGTTTAAAGGCCTCGGTTCTTAATATTTTAAGAGTTTTTAAGTTCCAGAACCGGTTTTTTGGTTCGGCTTATGCCCGTGATGGCCTGATATGTATACTATGTAAATTGATTGGAAAGCATAATATATTTATAGATGCAACTATGATTAATGTTTAAAAATAAAAGAATTATATTTACAAACAAAAATATTTTTTAAATGTATTGTTTATGATTTTTTAGTGTTAATGAAGAATAATAAAGATGAGTCTGGTATGTTGGATATAAATAAATTCGTATAGAAAATTGCTTTGAAATATTATAATATTTTGGGTTTTAAACAGCAAAATCTAATTAGGAAAAAACACAACTTCTTATTATTTAGTAATGTAGTTTTTAGAATTTATTATATGTACATATTTGTATTGTATCTTTTACTTATTGTTTATTTACCGAGTTATCACGATTTAATTATTAATTACCTACCCCAATATTAAAACTTAGAATTTGTACACACACATAAGACGTTCATTAATAATTATTAATGTTAATAGTTTCCTAAAATTAATGTGATTTAGATACTGGAAGTTGATCGCATTTTATTGAACACAGTACAAGTTATATTATTTAAGCATGAGGTTTTAAAACAACAGTACATTTTATATAATATTTTCAATAGATTTTTTTTTAAAAGCATTCAAGTGAAATTTCAAAGGAACATAAGATCTGTTTTATTTCTATATCCTTACACGTATTTTAAGTTTTAGTTTTTTCGTACTCTTAGACTATGAAAATAAATAAATTTAAAAAATGACCTTTTAAATCGAATTATCTAATTCAACTGTGAAATACTGAAATACATTGTATAATAACTACATAATATATAATATTATACATGTTTTAAATAATAATATAAACCTATAACAGATTTTAAACATTGATTGATATTCATTGAATAATTTAACAGACTTAAAGAATGAACTTCCGAGGTTTAAAGTACTCAAAGAACAAGGTAATTTGTCGTTTAATTTACAAACGTTTGGAAAATATATATAACCAAATTTGAGTTGAAAATATACATACAATATCCAATTTATTTCGTGTGTATATATTTTTAGTTTTGAGACGTCATTACGAAACCGTAACTTCTTGTAAACTAGGTACGTTAATACCTACTGAAAATTAAAAAAATTATTGAATTGTTATTTTTTTATTCAAATTAGTATTATAATATGTATAAATGTAATTAAAAATGTATCTAAATAAATTCAATAATTTAATATTATTTATAAATAGATGAGAAAATCGAGGAAACATATTTTTTGAAGTGTAAGTTATAGTAATTTAAATTTTTTAAATATTATATAAAATATTATTTTAAAACGAGTTTCTTGGATTTAAATAAACAAGTATACGAATATATATTCCACATATTACTTCAAGATAAAAAAAAAATCCTCAAAATCCATATTTAATAATTTATTTTATTTTCCAAAAGTAAATATAGGTATTAACTTGTATAGGTTGTATAATAATTATTAGGAAACCAACATTTTTTTTTAAGAAGCAATCAACTGAAATATTTAGTCTACAAATATGAAATATTGCTAATATTTTGTTATAACAATAAAAGCTAGATTTATTTTGTATTTCTATCAATGATCAATTCTACAATTTTTCTTTAGTTTGTAATAATGGCTCTAAATCTTATATAGGTATTTAGTCTAATAGCTAGTTAATTAAAATAGATTAAAGTAAATAGGTAATCACAAATCACTTGCTCTCCTTCTCCTGTTTATGTTGAATCATTTTTGTATCAAACGATAAAAACGATTATTAAACCATAATAACATCCATGACAAATAGATTAGGTATTTTGGTATAATTCTAGGTAATCGTTTAACAATTGTTTTACTTTTACATTTCAATACAATTATATCTATAAAACAATATATACTTATATACACAGTTTGTTTAACCTTTAAGACAACACTAGTAATTTCCATTGAATAACTGCATTTTTTCGATATTTTTTCCGTTGGATAAAGAAAGTTAAAATACATATAATTCGATAAAAGGGTTAAAAATTGTGAAAATTGTGTATAATATGACTTGTGTACTTAAATATTTTAACGTCTTCTATGCAATGGAAAAAGCCTAAATTAAATGCACAGTAATTCAGCTGAAATAATTCATGTTATCTATCTTTAAAGTTGAACACACAGCATGTCTTAAATGCCTATAACTGTAGGGGATCCCGGGAAAAAAGTCCGACTAGAAAATTATTATACGGAAAAAAGTCCGGTCTGATTTATTACTATACAATCTACAGTAATGAACTATGTAAGGTAAGGTAGATAGAAAAATAATGTGAATTAGGAGGTTATACGGTGTAATAAGGTAGCACAATTATTCATCTGTATTATAAGATAAAATATGAAATACCTAACAAATCATACATAAAATATGCATATAAAATATATAATAATATAATAAAATATACATGTATACATTATACATAAATTATCGATGTTACAATAACGCATAAGAAATTCAGTCGTTGTCCACATACGCAGTTATCCGCATTGAAATGGAAGAATTAGTACTTTTGAAATCGGGGAAAAATTATTTTTTGTGGTTTTGTATACACAGTCAATAATAATATGTCGACCAACATCAGCTAGAAAGGCTCTCAAAGATTGTACAAGAAAAATGATTTAGTGAATGGTGACGAAAATGTGAATTTATCGTTGAATTCAAATTCAACACATCCGTAAACGATCATTGTAATGATCAAAATATTTTGATTCGTATGTTGACGGACATTTTCAATTTTCATTTTTTTCATTTTTTTTTCTTTAAA